TTCCCGTTTGCAAAGTGTGGAAAAGTCTCGTAAAACGCCCTTTTAAAGTGGTATTTTGGGACACACAACCTCCCTCCGCTATTTAATATGGCTTTCCCTAAGGGTCGTTCTCCCAAAACCCCCTTTCTTCCCCTTGGATTTCGTTTTCGTAATGCCTTTGCGAAAAATCACTCAGTTATTGCCCCTATTTTTTTTACCTTTAGAAGGGGATATGAACAACTTGGAGGTTTTAATAATTTTTGGCCCCGGGCCCTTCCTTAGGCCTCCAGGCAATCTACCCTCCTTCCCTTAAAAAACTTTTTAACTGACAGACATTTCCCTTTCGATTTAATAAAGTTCTTTCCCCCGGGCTTTCCTCCAACGAAGGGGGGTCCCTCGGGGATGGGTTTTTAGTTACAACACTTTTTCCCCCTTGGGTATAAATATTTGGCCTCTGTTTTTCCCCCCAAAAATTTTTCCATCACTCTATGTTGATGACCCTTGCTAAAGCTGGGGCAGGGCCCCTGACTGTCATCTCCCTTTCAGGGGTTTTTCTCCAGCAAGCGGTGCCCGGGGTTTTCCCCTTGGGCCCCCAGCATGGGTTTTAAAATTTTTAAAAAACCAAAACCCCAAATTAAATTTCACTAAACGCTCTGTCTCCCCCGATTTATCTTTGTATCCTAAGGCTTTTCCCTTTTCCCCCAAACCCGGGTACAGTCAGGTTTTTAGGCCCTTTTCTTTGACCGTAGGTTTCCCGGAAACCTCACATTACCTCTCTGAAGGCAACTTTTTCACAGCCCGGTAAACCCTTTTTAAAACCCTTTCTCATCTTTCCGGGGGGCTGATCGCAACTCTGCTTCGCCCCAAATTCAGCCCTCGTTTTAAAAGAAACTCGATTTTGGTGACCCGATTTTTTTCCGCGGCCTTTTCCCCTACTCTTCTACCTTAAATCTATCCATACCAAGGATTTCGTTTGTTTCCTTGGGGGCTTTTCGCTCTTTTTCCCGGTTTAGGCCTCAAAGCCCGAAGCAATGTTCCCCTCCTTGTTTGTCGCCGTGATCCCTTTTTCCTTCGCTACTATGTACGCTCTCACGATTCCCCAAAACCTTCCAAATTTTTAGAATGGTCCCAATTTTTAGTAGACATTCTTTATTTTTGTTTCAACCCCCCCTGTTTGCCTTTCCCTCCCCTTTTTCTCGCCTACATTTCCCCCCGGGCCCCTTCCCTTTTTAGTTACCACCTTTATTGCATGTAGCTCTCACTTTTCCCTTTCAAACCCCCGGGAAGTTCCAGTGTTCGGGTCTTTTCTTTCTCACTCCCTTGCTCGAAAGCTCAACTGCCTACGGGGCTTCCCGCTCTCTTTTTCTTGATCACTTCCACCCCCATTCTCATCCCCAACCGCTGTGTACACAGATGGCTCTAAGTCTTCAACGGCGTCGGATTCGCAGCAGTTTTTCCCGGACAGCATCGTGGGGGGGAAATTTACTATCTTTGGGCTAGCATTTTTACTGCTGAACTGTATGCCATTCTTGCAGCACTTATTCGTATCGCATCTTTTGCCTGTGTCATCATTTGGTAGCCCTCAGACTCCCTTAGTGCTCTACAGGCTATTCAAAAATTGGAATACATCCCACCCCCTAGTTTCTCCGTATCCAACTTTGGCTACGCCGTATCTCTATGAAGCATGAAGATATTGTTTTTTGTTGGGTCCCTGGTCATGTCGACGTACAGGGCAATGAACAGGCAGACACTGCTGCGCGGTCAGCAGTATATGACCTACCAATTTCTATAGAGGTGTTCCATTTCTGGACTTTTTTTGCTGCAATAGCTACCCACCTTCACGCCCGTTGGCAACAACGTTGGTCAGCTCTGCTTGGTAACAAACTTCATTCTATTAAACCGAGCATAGGTTACTGGCCGTCTTCTTGTCATCAGTGCCGTGGTTGGGAGACCACTCTCTCCCGTCTTCGCATTGGCCACACTCGTCTTACTCACGGGTATCTCATGGAGAGGCACCCTGTACCTCTCTGTGAGCAGTGTCAAGTTCCAGTATCGATTAGCCACATTCTGTTAGACTGCCCTCTCTATCAACGAGCACGCAGAATTTACCTCCAACGCCGTCTTCGTTCTACTACTCTCTCTTTACCTTCCCTTCTTGCTGATGGACCCTCCTTTAATCCTGACTCTCTCATTGACTTCTTGACAACAACTGATTTACTCCACAAACTCTGATGATGATACCTTACGCACTCCCCTCAGCCCTTTCTAGCTCAATCTCTTGCTGCCCCTTACCCTTTCACCATCCAATGCTCCGCTGTTATCCGTAACCTATTACTCATCCACCTCCCTTTTGCCACCTGATGCCCTCGCTTCCTTCCTGCCGTGCAGCGCTGTATAGCCCTTGTGGCTTATCGCTTCTTTTTGATTATAATAATAATAATCTTGATTTAAGGAATTGGGCCCTATATCTACTTCCCTGGATCAAACCTGAATGCCTCCCTCTTCCCCAGGCACTGTATGACCCCTGCAGGTTTAGTGCTCCCCCTATGAATACAGTAATAATAATAATGGAGTGGGATTTACAAATAACCCACAATGGGAAGAGACTTTTGATGATATTTCAATCTTGCTCAGCTCTGATTTAATGATGGTCCTGCAAAGACCAAAATATTGTCCAATGTTTTCTCCATTTTTTTTTTAACACATCAGCCATTCCCCACCGCAGCAGGGTGATACAAAAAGAAAGAAAAAACTTTTCAACACTTTGACCATCACTCATACATAATCATAGTCTTGGCAGAGGCGCTCAGATATGACAGTTTAGACGTCCCTCCAAACTGCCAATATCCCAAACCCCTCCTTTAAAGTCAGGCATTGTACTTCTCATTTCCAGGACTTAAGTCCAGCTAACTGGTTTCCCTGAATCCCTTCACAAAATATTACTTCTCAAAGGTGTGGAATACTATTTATGAATTATTCCAGCAAGTTACTGCCATGTCAGAATTTTTGGATCATGCATGAGATGATCTTATCTAACTACTTGATAAAATACTTGTGAACTGCATTTAAATGATAGAATTTTTTTGAGTTATCTGAAATCAACTGGAATAAAAATTTACCTTGAAAGAGATGTGCTGTACTGTCTAATCAAAGATAACCCATGAAGAACAATTTATACGTTTAGAATTGGAAATTCGAACCTCCTTCTAATGTTTCCCTCAAGCAAACAGCCTTAAAATGCTTTTGCTGCAGCAGATGGTATGAACACACTTTCAAATGAAAGGCACTACCAATCGGCCAAGCTTCCTAATAAAGAAATGTGCTGTCATATTGTTGTAGCCATTGACACATGCTTGTACTACTAGTAACCAACCCAGATATTCTCTAACCCTGGTTATGTTGTTTTTCTAGTAATCTCAAAAAAAAATTTTTGCTGGATTCCTGCACATGCCAGTGTTCAGAGCAATGAACAAGAAGATTCAGCTGCTTGGTCAGTTATTCACAACCTGTTAGGTAAATAAACAGAGATGCAACTAATTTATTTTTATTTTTATTATCACACTGGCTGATTCCCACCAAGGCAGGGTGGCCCAAAAAAGAAAAGCTTTCACCATCATTCACTCCATCACTGTCTTGCCAGAAGGGTACTTTACACTACAGTTTTTAAACTGCAACATTAACACCCCTCCTACAGAGTGCAGGCACTGTACTTCCCATCTCCAGGACTCAAGTCCGGCCTGCCGGTTTCCCTGAACCCCTTCATAAATGTTACTTTGCTCACGCTCCAACAGCACGTCAAGTATTAAAAACCATTTGTCTCCATTCACTCCTATCAAACACGCTCACGTATGCCTGCTGGAAGTCCAAGCCCCTCGCACACAAAACCTCCTTTACCCCCTCCCTCCAACCTTTCCTAGGCCGACCCCCTACCCCGCCTTCCTTCCACTACAGACTGATACACTCTTGAAGTCACTCTGTTTCGCTCCATTCTCTCTACATGTCTGAACCACCTCAACAACCCTTCCTCAGCCCTCTGGACAACAGTTTTGGTAATCCCGCACCTCCTCCTAACTTCCAAACTACGAATTCTCTGCATTATATTCACACCACACATTGCCCTCAGACATGACATCTCCACTGCCTCCAGCTAATGTCACTAATGTGACATTTTATTGTGACAACATTTCACTCTCTAGGAACTTTGTCAAGCCAGTAATGGCTTGACAAAGCTGGGGAAGCGAAATGCTGCCAAAATAAAATGTCACATTAGTTGCATCTGTATCTATTTACCTAATATTTTGTTGGCAATTCTACCATTATTACTATTCCTTTCCCCGATTATTTTTAGTACTTTCTCCACAACTCTGAAACTGTTGGCAACAAGTCAGAATGCAACAAACCATTTTTATCACAAAATCAGGAATCTGACCATCATCTTCCCACTGCTGTCAAGTTTGGTAAACTACTCTCACACATTTGTGAATAAGGCACACAAAACTCGTGCAGGGAGAAACGCCCACCTCCACTATACCTTACCCTCCATCTATAGCACTGTATGACCCATACAGGCTTGGTGCATAAAATGAATAATAATAATAAATTAGCTGGAAACATTTGAGCAATTTTGTTAACTTCAAAACCTACTGCTCCATTCTTCTATGCTGAGTTGGAATAATGCATCGAATTACTTAGAAATTCTCTTTTTGCAATTTTGTACATTTTTGAAAAGTCCTTGGTTCAGCAGAACATTTCAAGCAGATAACAGATAAACAGTGGCATGAAAGAGGCAGGTACCAGAATCCCCATGAAACTTGTGAAGCTTAATTTAGAGGCAAACAATTCAAATCAGTTGTGACCCAGTGCAGCACTTATTATAGCATAAAACTGGCAACTTGAAGTGTTATCATACCATCATTTCTTTGTGCAGACTTGAATGGAAACAGATAACCAAATAAAGATAATGGCACATAAATAAAGAATACTAAAATGACTGGAAATGAAGGATCATCTTAAGGTATTACCTGAAACAATGGTCCAACGTCAACGTCAAATCCGAGGTCAGCAAACCCAGTGGCGATCACTTTAGCCCCGCGATCATGGCCATCCTGGCCCATCTTTGCAACCAGGATTCTTGGGCGGCGGCCTTCAACTTCAACAAACTCATTAATCTGCAGGAGATAATAAATTCCACCTTATTACATACTGCACTAACAAATTAAATAAATAGGTATTCTTTTATTTGAAATGTAGTGTTGTCATGCCTTTGGCAGGACAGTGATGATGAAAAGTGTTTCTTCTGTTTTGGGTCACCCTGCTTTGGTGGGACAAGATGAGATAAGATAACATTTCGTTTAGATCTTTAACCGCGGAGGGTTAGCCACCCAGGATAACCCAAGAAAGTCAGTGCGTCATTGAGGACTGTCTAACTTATTTCCATTGGAGTCCTCAATCTTGTCCCCCAGGATGCGACCCACACCAGTTGACTAACACCCAGGTACCTATTTGCTGCTAGGTGAACAGGACAACAGGTGTAAGGAAACATGTCGGAGTGTTTCCACCCGCCGGGAATCGAACCCGGGCCTTCCGTGTGTGAAGCGAGAGCTTTAGCCACCAGGCCAGAGCCCATGTGTTAATAAAGAAAAGAATATCAAATCTTTCACTGATATCTGTCTATGCCTCTCTCTCCATCTACATTACTAATTGTTATTAAGCAACAGTAATGTTAGACTGTTGTCTAACATTACTGTTGACCAACAAAAAATCTTCCCTAATGGATATGAAGAAGAGGCATTTAACTAACACTGGCTGCTTGTAGAATAAGCTGCAGTCACCAGGACAATCCCATGGCAATAAAGAAATTTGGAATCCAGAAGAAGGCATACTGAGCTAAGAGGTGGGAAGGCCCTGAACTGGTGTTCTTAAGATGTTTTATTCTCAGTAGTTCATCACAACTAATACAAATACGTACTGAAAACAATTTAATGGGTAGAGAAAAACAGTAACAATACAGTGAGATACAAGATATTTTTACCTTGGCTGTCACTGCTTCAAGCTCGTGTTGATCACCGAATTCTGTTTTGTATGCACCTGACACCAACCTGTCCGAGGCAACATGCCGACCAAATACCTGGAAATCAAAGAACTTCTCTAGATAACCACTCATCAGAAAAAGGGGGTTTCCTTTCCTTAGATAAATCATTACAGACTATGGCCAACAGCCAAATTTTGGCATCCTTATTAAATAAATAAGAGTTTTCATCCAATTTTGAAAATCTCTTAGGGTATTACAATACAGTAAATATAAGAAATGAGACAAGCATGCGGGGAGTGTTTGGAACTGCATTAAATTGCAAATAATGCTATCAAGAGCAGGTCTTTTAAAGTTCTTGATCCCAAGAAATAGAAATGCCCTCCCTTTTCCTGAAAGAAACCTGTTTATCTTTCATTCCCTTGGTGCACTGTATGACCCCCTACAAGTTGGGGGTTTCCTCATAATTATTATTAACTAGTAATGAGCTACTCTGGCAGAGTAACCAGATGTGAAGTGGAAAGCAAGATATGTAGCACTTTAGGGTTGTAATGAGAGAGAGAGAGAGGGAAAGAAAAAGAACGAGAAAAAGGAAGAAAGAAACTAAGTGCATTCTATAGTTAATTAGATCCCACAAGGCATAAAAATGTGCACCAATAATACTCCTCTTTTTTCCTAGTATAGCTGTTGTCCCCGAGCTGGATGGTACTATAACAGAAATTTATCATGCACTTTATCTTGTGCTCAGTCTTCAGAGGCTGAGAACAGACCATTAACTGCCAATATGACCCTACACTATTCATTAGAAGTATGGAACCCTTCCAACAACCTTAAAATACAAACATAAATAATTATTGATAAAAACTCTGGGTTAATAAACTTCCAACTGAACATAGAAATCTCACTAGAATAGTTCTCTATCCCAGAAGTTACAGAAGTCTTTGGTTATTACCCGAGACCTCACATTCAAAACTGTATATATTTTCATCTTTGTTACCGGTAATGAGATGCAACAAATGCATTTAAAGTAACCTTCTGCAATACACAGATAACCCACACATAGGAGAGAGGAGCTTATGATGATGTTTTGGTACGACTTGGACCATTTACAAAGTCACACTCACTTTGTAAATGGTCCAAGTTGGACTGAAACATCATTGTAAGCTCCTCTCTCCTATGTGTGGGTAATTTCTGTATTGTTCCAGTCATGGTATTGTGCCTTTTTGTTATTTACCTACTGGAATCATAAATGTTTATGGAGATTAAATTGTGATGTTAGTGTACTTTCTGGCAGACAGATACTGAAAAAGTGATGAGGAATGTGTTTCATTCTTTGGATCACTCCTAACAGTGTGGGAAACTGGGTATGTAAAACCAAAAACTTCATTAATACTAACAATGCCAACAACTATGTACTTAGACATCTCTGTCCCTCTCTCCTATACAGCTTCGCCTCACTTAACAAGGCATGCATACTGGTCAGAGAGCCCATCGTAAGTCCAAGTCATCGGTGAACGAGTATGTCACTAAGCAAGGAGAGGCTGTATACATGTATAATGGCTGCCTCACCTGCATGTGTTAGTGTGACTTGTAAATGATTCAAACTGGACCGAAATGACTTCATAAGCTTCTCTCTCTTATGTGCAGGTTATTTGTGTTCTGTTCCAGTCACAGTTCTTTAGAATTATTAAAAAAGGTCAGCAGAGCCAATCATAATTAACTGTCTTAACACTGTGCTTTCTCCTCCATATTTCATTCTAAGGTTTCCATGTAATCTACCTAAGCATACAGCACTATGATACTCTTACTGCCTAAGAGAAATGTTCATCATTAATAATTCATTAGATCTGATCTGACATACATTTTCCATGGCTTTGGAGATTTCTCCCAGAGAAGCACGTGCTCGAGCAGCCTCCACTGCAGCGGCCAGCAAGTTACCCTCCCCTCGTGCTGCTGCCTCCAGCACTGCCAAAGCTTCTTCAACTCTTGAAGTATCTCGAGAAGCCCTTATCTACAAGAAGAAAATTTAACAATTTGGATTTACAGCTTATATAAAAATTTTATCTAATGAAATCTAAAAATATGACTGATTATTATTTACATTTGTATATATTGTATAATAAGTATCTGACCCTCAAGCCAATAAGCATTCTGTACCTCTAAGTTTTAAATGTTTTAAGGTGTTTGTAGCCCTAAAATACAAACCTTTCTTAATTTCTCCACCTGGGTGCTTCGAACCTCATTATTGTCAATCATAAGTACATCAACTGTCTCTTCTTTTTCCAGCTTGTATTTATTGACACCAACAATAATTTCTGAAAAATTATAATTATTATATTAGACAAAGATTCCTAATGAGCTTTTCAAAAAATGCTTAAATCAAAGAGCATGATTTTACAGTAAATATAATGAAAGGTAATAGACACTGCAAGATTGTCATTGTAGAATATTATTCCAGATAGCAGGTGGCTCTTAGGCCAAGTGACATACTCAACACTGCCAGTTATCCTGAATGGAACAAGATTGGTTGATAAAGACAATATATAAACCGTAGAAGGATGGAAGAACATGTAGAGAGTTTCCAATGAAGGGCTAGAAGGTGGGTGGGAAACAGTGTTGGTAATTATTACAGTTCTGAACCTTCAACAGGTACATGCCAGTGTGATAATGAGAATGAGTGAATGCAAGTGGCTCATAGAATTTAATTTTTTCTAATACACCGGTCATCTCCCAATGAGGTAGGGAGACCCAATAAAGAGTAAACTCAGTCCAGCAGTAAAATAGTTACCTAGGTGTTAGTCTACTGGTGTGGATTGCATCCCAGGGACAAAAATGACCTAATTTGCCCAAAATGCTCTGTATAACAAGGGGCTGTCTATATAGCAGTATATCATTGATGTCAGCTAGGCATGTATTCAATGTACATGTACTTGTAGATGGGAATTACAGCATCTGCACTCTGAAGGAGGGGTGTTACTGTTGCAGTTTTATAACTGTAGTGTAAAGCACCCCTCTGGCAAGACAGTGATGGAGTGAATGATGATGAAAGTTTTTCTTTTTTGGGCCTTCCTGCTTTGGTGGGAATCGGTGCCGATGTGTTAATAAAATAAATAAATAATTATTATTATTATTAATCACCATCATTCATTTAATTTCTATCTTGTTAGAAGTGAGCTGACATCACAGTTCAAATGACCCTCCAAACTGCAACATCCTCACATCTTCAGAGTGCAGACATTGTACTTCTCACCTCCAGGACTCAAAGCTGCCTAAAAGGTTTTCATGAATTCGTTCATAAACGTTATTTCTGTTCTCATTCCAACAGCATGTCAAGCCATAAAAAAAAAAAAAGAGCATATATGAAAAAAATCTATGAAACTGATTAACTGGAGTTTTGAAGGTTGGGAAGCACATACAGTGGCTGCACTATGAAAGCAGGGTGAATGTGTTTAATTAAAGTGAATCATCAACAGACTGTAATGTCTGTCTACTAAAATTATCAAGTGATGACATGATAATGACTTGAGTTTTCTTATTTAAGCTGCCCTGGAAACAGCCAAAGAGTTCAAAATAATGAAAAAATTAACCTTTAAAAAAAAATCTTACCTTTCCCACTGTCAATCATAGCTTGTTTTTTAGCAGCACATTCTTCAATCTTCAACTTTGCCCACCCTAAAAAAAGATACAAAATATCTTTAGAAATCTATCAGCTTAATGATTTAAATGAATTTTATTATAAGTCACTTATATGACAACGAAACCCAAAATAACCTCCGCCAAGTGGCTTCAAAACATTTTTTTAACAGCAGGTTAGGTTCCGGGCCCCGTTTATACAGCAGGTTAGGTTCCGGGCCCCGTTTATACAGCAGGTTAGGTTCTGGGTTATTGCTGTAAAACAAAATCACTGTAAAGTGAAACATAACATAGCCTTCTTTAACTTTCAAATGCATATAAAAAGCCTGATAACACGATTATACACTATCATATTAAGTGAGTAACAGAGCTAGGCTTTAAAATATTTTCATCCTTAGATTATAGTGACTGATGAATATATTTATTGTAGGAATAAATGAAGAATGGGTATAACTGAAAACTGCTGTATTAGCAAAACACCATAAAGCAAAGTGCTGTAAAGTAAGGCCCTCCTGTAATGAATAAAACTGTACCATAAATAAGAATGAATCAAGGATGCCCCATGTTTTTATACTAATAACCATAGTATTCCCTGTCCTTAAATGATTGTATGTGATTACCTCACAAAAAAATAGCCTATTTCCTCTAGGAAGAATAAAAGGGCACAATATCATGACTGGAACCATACACAAATAACCCACACATAGGAGAAATTTTATGATGACATCACACACACACTGTGACTAGTTAATGATCCGTGTCGGACCAAAATGTCATCAAAAGTTTCTTTCTCCTATGTGCAGGTTATCTGTGTACTATTTACTTTTAACATTGCAGTTTGTTTACTCTTGACAAAAGCAATTTAAGAGATACCTCCTAGAATAAAAATAAAAACCAATTGATAATTATCATGCGGAACAAAGAAAACTGATGCCACAATAAACTCACCAGATGCTACAGCTTTTGCCATACCACCCATATCTTCTACTTCATCAATAATAGCCTTTCCTGCTGTGTACACTTCATTTGTTAAAGCCTCCATAGCATACGAGCCAGCCCATGGGTCAATTATCTGAAAAATATGGAATCTTTGCTAGGGCATGACAATAATCATGCCTATTATAATAAACTAAACTGATAATCAAGAATTTTTCGTCCATAAGCCATGCATGTCATAAGAGGTGACTAAAATGCCAGGAGCAAGGGGCTATTAACCCTTCTCTCAAGTAAATTACTAAACATAAAAAGAAGATATACTTTATAGTTTTCTTCTTTTTCGGGTCATTCTGCCTTGGTGGGAGATGGCCAGAATGTTAAAAATAATAAAAAAGTGATAATCAATACTAATACTGTATTCAAATATATATTAACAGCCATGGTAAAACTATTAGCAAGATGCATAGATAGAAAAATTTCGAAATCACAACACTTCTCTAAATACTGGCAGTGTATAAGATTAAGGTTCAGGAAAAATTTCCAAAATACAAGCTTCAAGCATAATCATATCAAGTCAGCAGTTCAGCTGATGGCTGAACTTTATCAAAGTATCAGACTCCAAACTAAGTGACCACAGCTTGTGTATCATTTTCCAAGTACCAAAATGAACTTTACAATTCTCTGAAGTATCAGATTCCAAAGTTTTGATGTTCAGCTGTACTGTTAAACAGAGCATTTTTTTTTTTAACACATTGGCCATCTCCCACTGAAGCATGACCCCAAAAAGAAAGAAACACTTTCACCATCATTCAACACTTCCACCATCATTCACTTTCACCATCTAAACTGTCATATCTGGGCAGAGGTGCCAAGATATGACAGTTTAGATGTCACTCCAAACAGCCAAAGTTATTCTAACTTAAACAATAAGCAGAAATCTCAAAGATTCAAAATTAATAGTCATTGTAAACTGACCTTTGGAATTCCAGTCTCTTCTTGCAAGATAATTTGTGTGTTGCGAGCAATGCGTGCAGAAAATTTGGTGGGTAAACCAAGTGCTTCATCAAATGAGTTTGTATGAAGGGATTGAGTACCACCAAAAACAGCAGCCATCGCTTCAACTGTGGTACGGATGATATTATTGTATGGATCCTGCAATAAGTGAACACATTAATTGCTTAATATAACAACAGTATTGTATTAAAGATAGAAGGTAATGTGTGGATTTAAGAAGCACTTTGACCTATGGGATCATTCAGCATTTTTGACAAAAAATACAACCACATATACTAACACTTACAAGCCAAAATTATATTCACATTTCATGACTGTCTTTTAAAATGAAACGTTACAGAATATCTATTCTATAAATCAACTGAGTTGTAATGGATATTTGGGCCAGCAGGCCACCAACAGCAGCAACCTGGTTGACCAGGTATGTACTGGACAAGTCTGGCCCATGGCCAGCCTGCAGGAATAGGAAAACTCTAGAAATTAGTCACAGGCATATAACAAATAAAAAAAGAACATTCAAACCAAGCATACAATGAAGATGAGGAAGTGGAAAACCTTGCAGAACTAGTATGAAAACCATTTCTGAATGTACATATCTTGCAGAGGACCTCTATGAGTTTGAACCCTCTATACTTCAAATTTGCCTTTCACAGAAAGTAGAGGTTTAAAATACTATAAAATAATTATAGTGATATGTTGCGTATCTTTATAAGTATATGCTTCTAAACTGTTGTTTCTGGGCACCTCTGCAAAAACAGTGATTATGTGTAAGTGAGGTGAAACTGTTGATTTATTTATTTTTTATTATCACACTGGCCGATTCCCACCAAGGCAGGGTGGCCCAAAAAAGAAGAACTTTCACCATCATTCACTCCATCACTGTCTTGCCAGAAGGGTGCTTTACACTACAGTTTTTAAACTGCAACATTAACACCCCTCCTTCAGAGTGCAGGCACTGTACTTCCCATCTCCAGGACTCAAGTCCGGCCTACCGGTTTCCCTGAACCCCTTCATAAATGTTACTTTGCTCACACTCCAAAAGCACGTCAAGTATTAAAAACCATTTGTCTCCATTCACTCCTATCAAACACGCTCACGCATGCCTGCTGGAAGTCCAAGCCCCTCGCACACAAAACCTCCTTTACCCCTCCCTCCAACCTTTCCTAGGTCGACCCCTCCCCCGCCTTCCTTCCACTACAGACTGATACACTCTTGAAGTCACTCTGTTTCGCTCCATTCTCTCTACATGTCCGAACCACCTTAACAACCCTTCCTCAGCCCTCTGGACAACAGTTTTGGTAATCCCGCACCTCCTCCTAACTTCCAAACTACGAATTCTCTGCACTATATTCACACCACACATTGCCCTCAGACATGACATCTCCACTGCCTCCAGCCTTCTCCTCGCTGCAACATTCATCACCCATGCTTCACACCCATATAAGAGCGTTGGTAAAACTATACTCTCATACATTCCCCTCTTTGCCTCCAAGGACAAAGTTCTCTGTCTCCACAGACTCCTAAGTGCACCACTCACCCTTTTCCCCTCATCAATTCTATGATTCACCTCATTTTTCATAGAACCATCCGCTGACACGTCAACTCCCAAATATCTGAATACATTCACCTCCTCCATACTCTCTCCCTCCAATCTGATATCAAATCTTTCATCACCTAATCTTTTTGTTATCCTCATAACCTTACTCTTTCCTGTATTCACTTTTAATTTCTTCTTTTGCACACCCTACCAAATTCATCCACCAATCTCTGCAACTTCTCTTCAGAATCTCCCAAGAGCACAGTGTCATCAGCAAAGAGCAACTGTGGCAACTCCCACTTTATGTTTGATTCTTTATCTTTTAACTCCATGCCTCTTGCCAAGACCCTCGCATTTACTTCTCTTACAACCCCATCTATAAATATACAGTGGACCCCCGGTTAACGATATTTTTTCACTCCAGAAGTATGTTCAGGTGCCAGTACTGACCGAATTTGTTCCCATAAGAAATATTGTGAAGTAGATTAGTCCATTTCAGACCCCCAAACATACACGTACAAACGCACTTACATAAATACACTTACATAATTGGTCGCATTCGGAGGTAATCGTTATGCGGGGGTCCACTGTATTAAACAACCACGGTGACATCACACATCCTTGTCTAAGGCCTACTTTTACTGGGAAATAATTTCCCTCTTTCCTACATACTCTAACTTGAGCCTCACTATCCTCGTAAAAACTCTTCACTGCTTTCAGTAACCTACCTCCTACACCACACACCTGCAACATCTGCCACATTGCCCCCCTATCCACCCTGTCATACGCCTTTCCCAAATCCATAAATGCCACAAAGACCTCTTTAGCCTTATCTAAATACTGTTCACTTATACGTTTCACTGTAAACACCTGGTCCACACACCCCCTACCTTTCCTAAAGCCTCCTTGTTCATCTGCTATCCTATTCTCCATCTTACTCTTAATTCTTTCAATAATAACTCTACCATACATTTTACCAGATATACTCAACAGACTTACCCCCCTATAATTTTTGCACTCTCTTTTGTCCCCTTTGCCTTTATACAAAGGAACTATGCATGCTCTCTGCCAATCCCTAGGTACCTTACCCTCTTCCATGCATTTATTAAATAATTGCACCAACCACTCCAAAACTATATCCCCACCTACTTTTAACATTTCTATCTTTATCCCATCAGTCCCAGCTGCCTTACCCCCTTTCATTTTACCTACTGCCTCACAAACTTCCCCCACACTCACAACTGGCTCTTCCTCACTCCTACAAGATGTTATTCCTCCTTGCCCTATACACGAAATCACAGCTTCCCTATCTTCATCAACATTTAACAATTCCTCAAAATATTCCCTCCATCTTCCCAATACCTCTTACTCTCCATTTAATAACTCTCCTCTCCTATTTTTAACTGACAAATCCATTTGTTCTCTAGGCTTCCTTAACTTGTTAATCTCACTCCAAAACTTTTTCTTATTTTCAACAAAATTTGTTGATAACATCTCACCCACTCTCTCATTTGCTCTCTTTTTACATTGCTTCACCACTCTCTTAACCTCTCTCTTTTTCTCCATATACTCTTCCCTCCTTACATCACTTCTACTTTGTAAAAACTTCTCATATGCTAACTTTTTCTCCCTTACTACTCTCTTTACATTATCATTCCACCAATCGCTCCTCTTCCCTCCCGCAATCACTTTCCTGTAACCACAAACTTCTGCTGAACACTCTAACACTACATTTTTAAACCTACCCCATACCTCTTCGACCCCATTGCCTATGCTCTCATTAGCCCATCTATCCTCCAATAGCTGTTTATATCTTACCCTAACTGCCTCCTCTTTTAGTTTATAAACCTTCACCTCTCTCTTCCCTGATGCTTCTATTCTCCTTGTATCCCATCTTCCTTTTACTCTCAGTGTAGCTACAACTAGAAAGTGATTTGACATATCTGTGGCCCCTCTATAAACATGTACATCCTGAAGTCTACTCAACAGTCTTTTATCTACCAATACATAATCCAACAAACTACTGTCATTTCGCCCGACATCATATCTTGTATACTTATTTATCCTCTTTTTCTTAAAATATGTATTACCTATAACTAAACCCCTTTCTATACAAAGTTCAATCAAAGGGCTCCCATTATCATTTACACCTGGCACCCCAAACTTACCTACCACACCCTCTCTAAAAGTTTCTCCTACTTTACCTGGAGTTTACCTGGAGAGAGTTTCGGGGGTCAACGCCCCCGCGGCCCGGTCTGTGACCAGGCCTCCTGGTGGATCAGCGCCTGATCAACCAGGCTGTTGCTGCTGGCTGCACGCAAACCAACGTACGAGCCACAGCCCGGCTGATCAGGAACTGACTTTAGGTGCTTGTCCAGTGCCAGCTTGAAGACTGCCAGGGGTCTGTTGGTAATCCCCCTTATGTGTGCTGGGAGGCAGTTGAACAGTCTCGGGCCCCTGACACTTATTGTATGGTCTCTTAACGTGCTAGTGACACCCCTGCTTTTCATTGGGGGGATGGTGCATCGTCTGCCAAGTCTTTTGCTTTCGTAGTGAGTGATTTTCGTGTGCAAGTTCGGTACTAGTCCCTCTAGGATTTTCCAGGTGTATATAATCATGTATCTCTCCCTCCTGCGTTCCAGGGAATACAGGTTTAGAAACCTCAAGCGCTCCCAGTAATTGAAGTGTTTTATCTCTGTTATGCGCGCCGTGAAAGTTCTCTGTACATTTTCTAGGTCAGCAATTTCACCTGCCTTGAAAGGTGCTGTTAGAGTGCAGCAATATTCCAGCCTAGATAGAACAAGTGACCTGAAGAGTGTCATCATGGGCTTGGCCTCCCTAGTTTTGAAGGTTCTCATTATCCATCCTGTCATTTTTCTAGCAGATGCGATTGATACAATGTTATGGTCCTTGAAGGTGAGATCCTCCGACATAATCACTCCCATTCAGATCCCCTACCACAATTACTCTCTCACTTGGTTCAAAGGCTCCTATACATATCTCTCTCTCTCCTCTACATTCCTCTCTTCTTCAGGTGCATACACGCATTATGATCCACCTTCCTACTTACTTTAATCCACATAATTCTTGAATTTACACATTCATATTCTCTTTTCTCCTTCCATAACTGATCCTTCAACATTACTGCTACCCCTTCCTTTGCTCTAACTCTCTCAGATACTCCAGATTTAATCCCTTTTATTTCCCCCCACCGAAACTCCCCTACCCCCTTCAGCTTTGTTTCGCTTAGGGCCAGGACATCCAACTTCTTGTCATCTGTTTCTTGTCATCCGCACTACATCCACGCACATTCAAGCATCCCAGTTTTATAAAGTTTTTCTTCTTCTCTTTTTTAGTAAATGTCTACAGGAGAAGGGGTTACTAGCCCATTGCTCCCGGCATTTTAGTCGCCTCATACGACACGCATGGCTTACGTAGGATTTTCTTTCTTTTTGGGTCACCCTGCCTCGGTGGGAGACAGCTGACTTGTTGAAAAAAAAAAATTATAGCATATACAGTGTACTCTACCTGTTCAGTGAGAGACCATCCCGAAGTCTGACTGTGAGTTCTCAACATAGTAGATTTGTTGCTCTTGGGGGAAAATTTGCTCTCAATGAGGCGAGCCCACAGGCGACGAGCGGCTCTCATCTTGGCAATTTCCTACAAAATGCCAGAATTATTAGCAGATACATTTTCCCCTTTCCAATGATTAGAACTGATTTTAAATAATGTAACTTCGAATCAAAATCAATTAAGTTTTCAAACAGGAATTTCCTTGGGAAATCCAATTTAATATTTAAAAAAGCACAATACGCACAACGTAGTGACTACTTTTAGATAAGGGTCTATAATGTATTTTCATTTTAAGCACTGGTCACTGTATGCACAGCAGTAAGTTTATATATTTTGCATATTGATCAAAGGATGTCTGAAGCTTAACTGAGTGATCATTCTCACAGCAAATTTATATTGTTATTCAGCAAAAAATCTGCTATTAGAATCATCACTCATTCAAGTTCCAGACAATAACTCAGCTTACCATGTAAAAATTCATGCCAACACCCCAGAAGAAAGAAAGGCGAGGGGCAAACTGGTCAATGTTGAGTCCTGCCGAAAGACCAGTGCGGCAGTACTCCAGGCCGTCAGCTAGAGTAAAAGCCATCTCCAGCACAGCATTAGCACCAGCCTCCTGCATGTGGTAACCACTGATGCTGATGCTGTTGAACTTAGGCATGTGCTGAAATAAATTTTTGAAGCAAATTAATTTTTTTTTTTTTTTAGGGGGGGGGTCACCCTAAATCTGTGGGAGACGGCTGATGTGTTAAAAAAAATAATTGTTTAAACATAAGAACATAAGAAAGAAGGAACACTGCAGCAGGCCTACTGACCCATGTGAAGCAGGTCTGTGTCTGCCCCCCAGATTAGCCCAATGACCCACCTAGTCAGGTCACTTCCACTTAAGGAAGGAGCATGGCATCCGATCTATTAGCACAAGCTAGTCAGGTCCAACTCATACCCACTCATGTATTTATCTAACCTATTTTCAAAACTACACAACGTTTTAGCCTCTATAACTGTACTCGGGAGTTTGTTCCACTCATCCACAACTCTATTACCAAACCAGTGCTTTCCTATATCCTTCCTGAATCTGAACTTTTTGAACTTGAAACCATTGCTGAGAGTCCTGTCTTGGCCGGAAATTTTCAGCACACTATTTACATCCCTTTGATTTATTCCCGTTTTCCATTTATACACCTCGAATCATATCCCCCCTAATTCTACGCCTTTCGAGAGAGTGCAGATTCAGGGCCCTCAGTCTATCCTCATAGGGAAGATTTCTGATACATGGGATCAACTTTGTCATCCTCCTCTGTACACTTTCCAGCATTTACATCTATTCTGTAATACGGTGACCAGAACTGTGCAGCATAATCTAAATGAGGCCTAACCAAGGATATACATATAGAGTTGAAGAACAATCTGAGGACTTCTATTATTTATACTTCTGTATATGAAGCCAAGGATTCTGTTAGCTTTATTGCAAACACTAATGCACTGCTGTCTTGGTTTTAGGTTACTGCTAACCAGAACTCCTAAATCATTTTCGCAATCAGTAGTATTAAGATCTACATTATTTAGTTTATATGTGGCATGGTTATTTTCTTGTCCAACATTTAGAACTTTGCATTTGCCTATATTAAACTGCATTTGCCACTTCTCCAACCATTGCATCAGTCTATTCAAATCATCCTGGAGTGCTCTAGTGTCCTCATTAGAATGAATTGAATGGCCTATTTTGGTGTCATCAGCAAATTTGCTTATGTTGCTATTTATTCCCTCATCTATGTCATTTATGTAAATTGTGAACAACATTGGGCCCAACACTGACCCCTGTGGAACACCGCTTGTGACGTGCCCCCATTCTGATTTCTCCCCATTTATGCAAACTCTCTGCTGCCTATTTGTCAGCCATGCCTCTACCCAGGAAAAAATTTCTCCTCCTATTCCATGTGCCTAAGTTTCCTCAAAAGCCTCTGATGTGGAACTCTATCAAAAGCCTTACTGAAGTCCATATACACAATATCATATTCATTACCATGATCTACAAAAAGTTTAACTTGTAGCCACAAACCTGTGCAGTATAGCTGAAGATATCTCCAATAATCCTCATAGACGGTGCTGGTGGGTATATGTATGTGTTGCGCACCATGAATTCCTTCAGGATATCATTTTGAATTGTGCCTGACAACAGCTCTTGCTTCACACCCTGTAACAATTATGAAACAGGCAAACTAAATTCTTGGTACAGTACTTTGCTGGAATATTTGCATGTGAAAAAACCAGATGGTGCAGCAACAAATAATTTCATTTTTTTTACAGAAGATAATTCTGTATGTTGCATATACGTACTCTTACTGTTCAATAATTAGAGGTAAATACATGTATATTTTAAACTTAATTAAAATGGTGGGAGATGTTCCAAGTGTTAAAATAATCGGATTTTTTATTTTTGTAGAAGCTTGAGAATGTGACATTCAGGATGGGACAATAACACTAAATGGCACAAGGACAAAGAAAAAATAGCACAGTACAGTACATAGACAAGGATAAAATATCAGAAATATCACAATGTGTTGAGTATGTACCTAAAAGCATATTATATCTCTCAAAAAAATACACACTCTCAAACAATGAGGATTTATCAAGCTACAACCTAAGACCATTATGGATACATTTTGTATAGGTGGCCCTCCACATTCGCGAGAGTTGCGGGATCAAGAACCTCGCGAATGTTGAAAATTTGCAAATGCTTGGTGCACCAATATTGTAGGGAAATATAATACATGTAATAGCATTTACTTAGCATAACAAAGCTGCTTCCTTAACCTATTGAACTATGAACAATCATAAAACACATGAAAACATCGTAAAATACATACATGTATTGTATATACATACATGTTATGGTTTAATAACAAATAATGAACAAACAAAACACTCACCACTCAAAGTTAGGCAAACGAACTCTGATGATTTGTGATAATAATGACAATGATGATGATGATGGTGATGACAGCCATGCAGTTACTGATGACAGTTTAATGAAGGTGATTATATGGAGTGTAACTGCATGCCATGACGAGTCTAGTGTGTGGCTTCTAACTCTTCACTGCCAGCGTCATTGTCGACAATAGGTGGTGGATCATCGACATCGCTAGAGTCAGAGTTAGCAACAGGAGTAGTGGCAGGCTTCCTTGTAAAGAACATTGTGATGGGCAACTGAGACCGTTTCCTCTTCATATCTACAAACTGAGTTTTGTAGGGAATTATGCTGCTATCAATCATCACCTTCAAAGCCCTCAAGATCAATGGGTCTATGTCGTAAAAAATTTTTTTGAGCTGTGCTGTCATTCTGATCGCTTGCCTAGTTTTTCAAGGGTGAGGGCTTGAGGTTGATTGGCCTCAGCAACACTCTCCTCTTCATCTTCATTCTCTGCCAGCACAATCTCCAACAACTCTTCATCATTCAGGCCCAGTGCATGTTCTTCAACATGCACCTCACTTCACTCTCCTACATGTCCTCGAACCCTTCACCACCAACTAGCCTTGCTAACTCTCTTCCTCACAGCTTTGTTAGCCTTTTCCTGAGGACCAAAACCAACACAAACAACACAGACCAACATGAAGAGTAACTGGACAATGACTGACTGAGTGGTGGACTGGCTGCCAGTTGAGGGGGTAAGTGGGAGGGTAGCAGGGACGTGGCGAGAAGTATAAATATGACTGGGCGGCTGGGCATTCGCGAATGTTCGAAGCTCGCAAAAGTAGAACTCACGAATGTGGAGGGACACCTGTACATGAGAAACCCACATGAGATTACTGCATATTCTTATCTAAACAAGTAAATCTTACCTGTTCTTCCGCAGCCACAATAAACATTGCCATGGTTGGGATAACAGCACCATTCATGGTCATTGACACCGACATCTTGTCTAAAGGAATACCACTGAACAAGGTTTTCATGTCCTCTACAGAATCTATGGCAACTCCTGCCATACCAACATCCCCATGAACTCTGGCATTGTCAGAGTCATACCTGTAAAAGAAGTAAAAAAACAATTAATATACAGTACTGTACTGTATTTTAGAAATCTCTTGGTATTCCATAGGTTTCAGATTGTTGTACAGTATTCCGTACAATGTGTATAGTAATTGTAATCAAGATGAATTTTGATAAACATTTTTTTACATATGTTGTGCTGTTTATACTTATACAGAATGTACTACAAAATTTGACAATTATGGTGATTTACACTCAGTAAAAGAAAAATAAAAGCTAACACAGTACTCTACATAGTCATTTTCCAGTGGATGGCAGTCTTCCAAGGATAATGGGTGCATTAATTCTTAATCATAACAGGTAAACATTATTCCAATGGTAAAACAAGAGAGCCATTTGTTTGTGAACATATATGGTGTGCATGAATGCTCTCACTCCTTCTCCTTAAATATAAAACATACCCTCGATGAGTGGCTAGGTCAAAGGCAACAGATAAACCTTGCTGTCCAGCCTTAATGTTTTCTCGATAAAATTTGTTACTCTCTTCCACAGTACTGAAGCCTGCATATTGTCGAATGGTCCAGGGGCGGTTGGCATACATGGTTGGATATGGACCCCGAGTGTAGGGAAACTTGCCGGGTAATTCTTGCAGAAGACTACAGAAAAAAAGCATATTATTAGAGAATGGTCTCATTAACTGATTTACTCAACAAATTGTGCATTATCTAATAGTTTATGAATGTCTTCAGTTTTTTCTTCCTAGTTTTGTTAGTGCTACAGTTATTATGCTCAAGCATTAAAATCATGGACCTCTGCTACACATTCAAGTGCTGTTTAACCCATATGGGGTTTGCACTTCTTACTATAATAATAATAATACCTGTAGGGAGTAAGGAGCTAGTAACACATCCTTTATAAATTGCTAAATTTTAAAAGTAAAACTTTTGTTTTTCTTTTTAGGTCACCCTGCCTCAGTGGGATATGGCCAGTTTGTTAAAAAAAAAATAGTAGAAAATGGGGAAAAAATGGTTTTTAATGGGTGTGCTGCTGGAGTGTGAGCAGGTGCCTTTATGAAGGGATTCAGGGATACTGGTTAGCCAGACTCTAGTCCTGAAGGTGGGAGGGGCAGTGCCTGCACTTTTCTATGGTAGTTCATCATTCACAGAATCCCCATACTTTAAATGGCAAAGGCAAGACTACTTTGTCTGTTATCTGACAGATGAAAAAGACAGCACGATGACAGGCCCTGATTGTCTAGTGGTTCAAGCATTATTACATTCCTTTAGTCAATATGTACCTGTACCAAAAGAAACTCTCCTTCAAGGTTTCCTGACCCTAGATAATTCCCATAGCCATCCTCAAAATCTTGCAGTCTCTTGATTCAAATGTTAAGGTTGAGCTTTTTCCACAGAATATGACATCTTTATTACAACACCAAATGAAGCTGAGGAAGACTCTGACCTAGCATGGTGAACAACTGCACAGATCTTTTCCCTCAACAGACAGTTAGGTATAGAAAATTGTGAATTTACCTAGGACAGTGCCAGGTGAGGTGTTTTGAGAATATACAGGAAAATGACTTTTACCCTAAAAACAAAAGAAAACAAAAAAAGACCATAACAACTAGAAGCAGTGCTGTAAACTGTGCTTTGGAGCATATTATGCCTTATCTTCAGTTTTATAAAGAAATGCAGGGTAAAACAGCACAGAGATGCAGAACAGAACACTTGTCAACTCCAGAACACCCATCCATTACTGAAAATTCTGTTAAAATCATCTAGACAACTGCAGTTATCCACCAAAGGTCAAGAACCACAACCATCCACCTAAAGCCTACAACTAAAACCAACCACCTCGGCACAGTTGGACCACACCAACTCTCTCCATGCATGTCAAAACTTACAATCACCAACAATCAGAATTTAATTTAAGAAAAACTGATCTAAGTAATCTTTTATGCCTATTTTGAAGGTCTCAGGAAGCAAGTATTATTATTTTTCGCAAAAGTTACTTCACTTCACATATCAGAGACTTCATGTAAAACAGTTTCCAGGAAATTAATTACTGTATTAAGTGAGAGTCTACTGTACAGTGGACCCCCGCTTAACGATCACCTCCCAATGCAACCAATTATGTAAGTGTATTTATGTAAGTGCGTTTGTACGTGTATGTTTGGGGGTCTGAAATAGACTAATCTACTTCACAGTATTCCTTATGGGAACAAATTCGGTCAGTACTGGCACCTGAACATACTTCTGGAATGAAAAAATATCGTTAACCGGGGGTCCACTGTACTTTATTGTGTGTATTTTTAAACAGCTATTTGCTTTAGCTGAAAATAGATTTGGGTTTATGGAAGAAAAAGATACCTAGGATAATAAGAAAAGAGCATGTCCACAAACTTTTCAACATCCTTGATTGTGTAGAGAGGCTTGAGCGTGATGCCCTCTGGGGTCTTCCACATCAGCCGCTTCGCAGGGTCAGTCCCTTTAAGCTGTTTCTTTGCCAACTCGGCCCATTCCGCATCCAAACCAGCCTTACTGTGGCAGAACCGTGACCAACAGGCTGATATGGTTTGACCACTCTGCAGTTTGGGAAAAATATGTTAGCACAGAGGTTCGTAACTTAACAGTAGCAATTTTGGATCAAGCTAGAGACCTGAGTTTGAGCCTGTTGAGGGTGTAGAAGTTGAACATGCCTCAGTATACCTGTTGCTCCTGTTCACTTAGCAGTAATATAACATAACAATATCTTCATTTGTACAAGTACATGTACAAGGTATACAGGCCTAGCTGACATCAATGACATACTACTATATAGAAAGCCGCTTGTTATACAGAGCATTTCGGGAAAATTAGGTCAGTTTTGTCCCAGGATGTGACCCATACCAGCCGACTAACACTCAGGTACCCATTTTACTGATGGGGAACACAGACAACCAGTGTAAGGAAACATGCCCAATGTTTCTACCCCTTCACTGGAAATCAAACTCAGACCCTCACCGTGTAAAGTAAGAGTTCTAGCCACCAGGCCATGAGTTGCAGTAAAGGAGGTAACTGGGTGTTAGTTGACTGCTGTAGGTAAGTTTATTTAGGTGCAGGTACACATAAATACGGTCATACAATTTATCATGTAAAGTAAAAGGACACAAGTGCAACTAATGTGACATTTTACTGTGGCAACATTTCGCTCTCCAGGAGCTTTGTCAAGCCGTTAAGGTCCTGGAGAGCGAAATGTTGCCACAATAAAATATCACATTAGTTGCACTTGTGTCCTTTTACTTTACATATTGTTGGTAATTTTATCAACATTATTACAAATTATCATGCATAGCAGCCTATGTGTAGATTACCTAAAATAACCCCCAAAAAATCAAAGTGATTTATTTCCATCGGGGTCCTTGTAATAGCTTATTATTTATACCTTAACAGTTAAAACAGCTAATTAACTTAACTATTTGAAAGGGAGGAGATTAATTTCTTGTATAGCTAACATACATATACCTATTACTGTCATCTGATCCTCTCTTTAATGTTAATGTAAATAATTCAGTTTATCTTATCCCTGGTATATATATCCTTTTATTGTAACTGCTTTTCACATAGTTAAGTTGCTTATTTGTTTTAACTTTTAAGATTTAACTTATTATAATTAAAAAGAAGTGCTAATCCAATTTTAAGATTTAAAGAGTAATATATTACAAGGACCCTAATGGAAATAAGTCACTTTGACCTTTTTTGGGTTATCCTGGGTAATTTACATATATGTTATGTATTATAATTTATGTAACTATTTATGTGTACTTGAACCTAAATAAATTTGCTTATTAATTGAAGAGAATAACAGCGCCTATTCCTCGGCTCAAAAGCCCTTCACAAGCATCAAAAAACCTCTCACTCTCTCACGAAGGAAACAATATAATAAAATATATTCACAATGCAGTAAAATATATTTACACTAGAGTAAAATATATTTACAATACAGTAAAATATATTCACAATACAGTAAAATATATTTACAATACAGTAAAATATATTCACAATACAGTAAAATATATTCACAATACAGTAAAATATATTCACAATACAGTAAAATATATTTACAATACAGTAAAATATATTTACAATACAGTAAAATATATTTACAATACAGTAAAATATATTCACAATACAGTAAAATATATTTACAATACGGTAAAATATTTACAATACAGTAAAATATATTTACAATACAGTAAAAATATTTACAATACAGTAAAATATATTTACAATACAGTAAATATATTACAATACAGTAAAATATATTTACAATACATTAAATAATTTACAATACATTAAAATATATTTACAATACAGTAAATATATTCACACTACAGTAAAATATATTTACAATACATTAAAATATATTTACAATACAGTAAATATATTCACACTACAGTAAAATATATTCACAATACAGTAAAATATATTTACAATACAGTAAAAGATATATATAAGAGCTACCTCCACTACCATGACCTTCTGCCATTTTACAACCCGCCATTACAGTGAAACACTGTGACAATCACGTCAATAATGGCGTGTTGAACACCTTATCCCGGAGCAAGACATGACTCACCCTCACAATACTCGACCTAGTTAATAAAATCGACATTTTTAACACTTTGTGCTGAGCACTCTTGGCCACCATGGAGGATAAACTTTCCTGAGCAACAGCGGGAGAACTCTTTATGTCATCAATGACGTCATTAATGTTTTTTTCCCCTGGATTTTTTACACTGATGTAAGTGAGGTTTTGTTTTACATTGTAATTTTCTCAGGTGGAAGAGCTATTATGTGGCATGTAGACCTTGAACTGTTCTCCCAGACTCACTCGCCATAGGTTCAAAACCCACCCGTTCCTTGGTTTATTATTACTGTTATTATTATTATTATTATTATTATTATTAGCAGCAGCAGCAGCAGCAGCAGCAGCAGCAGCAGCAGCAGCAGCAGCAGCAGCAGCAGCAGCAGCACAGCAGCAGCAGCAGCAGCAGCAGCAGCAGCAGCAGCAGCACAGCAGCAGCAGCAGCAGCGCAGCAGCAGCAGCAGCAGCAGCAGCAGCAGCAGCAGCAGCAGCAGCAGCAGCAGCAGCAGCAGCAGCAGCAGCAGCAGCAGCAGCAGCAGCAGCAGCAGCAGCAGCCAGCAGCAGCAGCAGCAGCAGCAGCACAGCAGCAGCAGCAGCAGCAGCAGCAGCAGCAGCAGCAGCAGCAGCAGCAGCAGCAGCAGCAGCAGCAGCAGCAGCAGCAGCAGCAGCAGCAGCAGCAGCAGCAGCAGCAGCAGCAGCAGCAGCAGCAGCAGCAGCAGCAGCAGCAGCAGTGTAGTAGTAGTAATAATACAGGAAATGGCAGAAATCGTACACCAAATCCAGTCATTCCTGGAGTGGAACCACAGTCGATGGCCTCCACTCCAAACCAGCAGATACAGATACTAAAGCCGGAAAAAAAAAACCCTCCCAGTACCAACAATACCACCAGTCCGATGACCTTCTTTGCAAATATACAGGGTCTAAAGCCAGCAACAAACAACAAAATACCTTTCATCCGTGGACTGCTTGCAGAGGCAAAGGCAATGTTCGCGGCTTTCACTGAGACCCACATAAAGGATCACTTGGACAACGAAATATGGATCCCAGATTACAACCTATACAGATGTGACAGAGCGAACAGGCAAAAGGGGGGGGGGGGTTGGCCTGTACATTGCAGAGTCACTTGTTTGCACAGAACTGCTGAATGCCTCAAATGATGTAGTGGAAGTTTTAGCAGTAAAGGTCGAGAACCAAAACCTAGTCATTGTGGTAGTCTACAAGCCTCCGGATGCAACATCCCAGCAATTCCAGGAACAGCTGTTAAAAATTGACCACTGTCTGGAAAATCTTCCAGCTCCTGCACCCAACATCTTGCTCCTGGGGGATTTCAACTTAAGGCACCTAAAATGGAGGAATATAGCAAATAATATTGTTGCAGTAATAACACCAGGAGGCAGCTCTGATGAAAACTCACACTCACACGAGCTTTTAAATCTCTGCACAAAATTCAATTTAAACCAGCAAATAATAGAGCCTACTAGACTGGAGAATACACTAACAATGATGATCTGATAAGAAATGTCACCATATCAAAAACAATATACTCAGATCACAACATAATTGAGGTTCAGACATGTATGCGTGGAGCCCCAGACCGACATAATGACAATAGTCACGAGGGAGCATTCACCAAATTCAACTTCAATAACAAAAACATAAAGTGGGACAAAGTAAACCAAATCCTAACCGATATAAGCTGGGAAGATATACTAAGCAACACAGACCCCAACTTATGCCTAGAACAGATTAACTTGGTGGCACTCGATGTATGCACAAGGCTTATTCCTCTAAGAAAAAGGAGGAGTAGATGTAAAATAGAAAGAGACAGGCGCTCCCTTTACAGGCGACGGAAAAGAATAACAGAGCCGCTAAAAGAGGTCAATATATCTGAAATGCGTAGGGAGACACTGGTCAGAGAAATAGCAAGCATCGAACTTAAGCTAAAGGAATCTTATAGGAGTCAGGAATCGCGGGAAGAACTAAAAGCCATAAATGAAATCGAAAGAAACCCAAAGTATTTCTTCTCCTACGCCAAATCAAAGTCGAGAACAACGTCCAGTATTGGGCCCCTACTTAAACAAGATGGGTCCTACACAGATGACAGCAAGGAAATGAGTGAACTACTCAAGTCCCAATGTGACTCAGTTTTTAGCAAGCCGCTAACCAGACTGAGAGTCGAATATCAAAATGAATTTTTTATGAGAGAGCCACAAAATTTGATTAACACAAGCCTATCCAATGTTATCCTGACGCCAAATGACTTCGAACAGGCGATAAATGGCATGCCCATGCACTCTGCCCCAGGGCCAGACTCATGGAACTCCGTGTTCATCAAGAACTGCAAGAAGCCCCTATCACGAGCCTTTTCCATCCTATGGAGAGGGAGCATGGACACGGGGGTCGTCCCACAGTTACTAAAAACAACAGACATAGCCCCACTCCACAAAGGGGGCAGTAAAGCAACAGCAAAGAACTACAGACCAATAGCACTAACATCCCATATCATAAAAATCTTTGAAAGGGTCCTAAGAAGCAAGATCACCACCCATCTAGAAACCCATCAATTACACAACCCAGGGCAACATGGGTTTAGAACAGGTCGCTCCTGTCTGTCTCAACTATTGGATCACTACGACAAGGTCCTAAATGCACTAGAAGATAAAAAGAATGCTGATGTAATATATACAGACTTTGCAAAAGTCTTCGACAAGTGTGACCATGGCGTAATAGCGCACAAAATGCGTGCTAAAGGGATAACAGGAAAAGTCGGTCGATGGATCTATAATTTCCTCACTAACAGAACACAGAGAGTAGTCGTCAACAGAGTAAAGTCCGAGGCAGCTACGGTGAAAAGCTCTGTTCCACAAGGCACAGTACTCGCTCCCATCTTGTTCCTCATCCTCATATCCGACATAGACAAGGATGTCAGCCACAGCACCGTGTCTTCCTTTGCAGATGACACCCGAATCTGCATGACAGTGTCTTCCATTGCAGACACTGCAAGGCTCCAGGCGGACATCAACCGAATCTTTCAGTGGGCTGCAGAAAACAATATGAAGTTCAACGATGAGAAATTTAAATTACTTAGATATGGTAAACACGAGGAAATTAAATCTTCATCAGAGTACAAAACAAATTCTGGCCACAAAATAGAGCGAAACACCAACGTCAAAGACCTGGGAGTGATCATGTCAGAGGATCTCACCTTCAAGGACCATAACATTGTATCAATCGCATCTGCTAGAAAAATGACAGGATGGATAATGAGAACCTTCAAAACTAGGGAGGCCAAGCCCATGATGACACTCTTCAGATCACTTGTTCTATCTAGGCTGGAATATTGCTGCACACTAACAGCACCTTTCAAGGCAGGTGAAATTGCTGACCTAGAAAATGTACAGAGAACCTTCACAGCGCGCATAACGGAGATAAAACACCTCAATTACTGGGAGCGCTTGAGGTTCCTGAACCTGTATTCCCTGGAACGCAGGCGGGAGAGATAGATGATTATATACACCTGGAAAATCCTAGAGGGACTAGTACCGAACTTGCACATGAAAATCACTCACTACGAAAGCAAAAGACTTGGCAGACGATGCAACATCCCCCCAATGAAAAGCAGGGGTGTCACTAGCACGTTAAGAGACCATACAATAAGTGTCAGGGGCCCGAGACTGTTCAACTGCCTCCCAGCATACATAAGGGGGATTACCAACAGACCCCTGGCAGTCTTCAAGCTGGCACTGGACAAGCACCTAAAGTCGGTTCCTGACCAGCCGGGCTGTGGCTCGTACGTTGGTTTGCGTGCAGCCAGCAGCAACAGCCTGGTTGATCAGGCTCTGATCCACCAGGAGGCCTGGTCACAGACCAGGCCGCGGGGGCGTTGACCCCCGGAACTCTCTCCAGGTAAGCTCCAGGTATTATTATCATCATCATCATCCATGTCGTTAATTCCTCCCTTCCAAGAGGATGTCTTGATGCAGGGCTCTTGATCCACTGATTAGGAACCTATTCTCGCCTTCCCTGGATCAAACCTGTCTACCTCCCATTTTCCAGGTGTTGTATAAGCCCTACCAGTTTAGCGTTTTTCCCAATAATAATAAGTAATAATAATAATTTATTTATTTATTTATTTATTTGAACATGTTACATAGAAGTACAAGGAAATACAGTGGTTAAGTGTAACATGTCAAAGTCCCTTGTATGCAGAGCATTATGGGCAGGCTTAAAATTAACTTAAGATTAACCAAGCAATGATATACTCAGTGGTAAACATTATTGTAAACAAATAATAATTAAGCACAAATGAGTATTTCAAAGACGGGTCTATTGTCATTTACTGTGTTGCTGTGCATTCAGTAGAATGGAGTATTCTGTTAGGTAATGTAATTAAAAAATAACAATTATTCAGTATTTATTTAGTTGTGGGTGAGTAAGTGATTTTTAAGAAGACTTGACTTTATAAACAGACAGTGTTTCTTTTATATTCACAGGTAATGAGTTCCAGATTTTAGGGGCTTTTATGTTTACCTGGAGTTTACCTGGAGAGAGTTTCGGGGGTCAACGCCCCCGCGGCCCGGTCTGTGACCAGGCCTCCTGGTGGATCAGCGCCTGATCAACCAGGCTGTTGCTGCTGGCTGCACGCAAACCAACGTACGAGCCACAGCCCGGCTGATCAGGAACTGACTTTAGGTGCTTGTCCAGTGCCAGCTTGAAGACTGCCATTGAGTTTTTGCGTAGTGTGAGATGGACACGAGGAACATCAAAGAGTGATCTGTGTCTTGTGTTATGGTCATACCTGGAGTTTACCTGGAGAGAGTTCCGGGGGTCAACGCCCCCGCGGCCCGGTCTGTGACCAGGCCTCCTGGTGGATTAGAGCCTGATCAACCAGGCTGTTGCTGCTGGCTGCACGCAAACCAACGTACGAGCCACAGCCCGGCTGGTCAGGAACCGACTTTAGGTGCTTGTCCAGTGCCAGCTTGAAGACTGCCAGGGGTCTGTTGGTGATCCCCCTTATGTATGCTGGGAGGCAGTTGAACAGTCTCGGGCCCCTGACACTTATTGTATGGTCTCTTAACGTGCTAGTGACACCCCTGCTTTTCATTGGGGGGATGTTGCATCGTCTGCCAAGTCTTTTGCTTTCGTAGTGAGTGATTTTCGTGTGCAAGTTCGGTACTAGTCCCTCTAGGATTTTCCAGGTGTATATAATCATGTATCTCTCCCGCATGTGTTCTGTTGAGGCTGGTAAGATGTTTGAGGGGAGGGTTTATGTCAGAGTTAAGTGTTCTATGTATGTAGTAGGTACAATAATAAGTATGGATGGTTTGTATGGTGAGTAGGTTTAGAGTTTTGAATATTGGTGGAGTGTGTTGTCTGTAGTGGGAATTTGTTATCATTCTGACTGCAGCCTTTTGTTGGGTAATTAATGGTCTGAGATGGTTTATTGTTGTTGAGCCGCATGCACAAATTCCATAGGTGAGATAGGGGTAAATAAGAGAGTGATATAGGGCCAGGAGGGCTGACTGTGGAACATAGTAGTACCGTATCTTCGATAGTATGGCTACGATCTTGGAATTTTTTTTGGAAATTTGTTGTAAATGTGCTTGAAATTTGAGTCTTTTATCAAGGTGGATTCCTAAGAATTTTCCCTCTGTGAGTTTTGTGATAGGTGATCCGTTTATCATTATGTTAAGAGGGACATCTGTAGCTCTGTTACCAAACTGAATGTAGTAGGTTTTGTCAATGTTGAGAGTAAGTTTGTTAGTCAGCATCCAGGCAGATATTTTCTGTAATTCGGTATTCACAGTATTGGCTTGCATGACTGGGCTCGGGTGAGAGAAGACGTATGTAGTGTCATCTGCAAATAGTGTGGGTTTGAGTAGTTGTGATGCATTTGGTAGGTCATTTATGTAAACAAGAAAGAGAAGAGGGCCAAGGACACTTCCCTGTGAGACACCAACTGTAATTGGCTGTACGGAAGAGTTTGCTCCATTTGTGTACACATATTGGCTTAGTTGAGGGAGTGCCCTCTTATACCATAGTGTGACAATTTTATGTGGAGTAAATCATGGTCAATTGTATCAAAAGCTTTACGTAGATCAATGAAGATCCCCAGTGGGACTTCTTTTTTCTCTATTGCAGTGTATATTTGTTCTAGCATGTGTATAATAGCATCATTCGTATTTTTATTAGGCCTGAACCCAAACTGACAGGGATTGAGTATGTTGTGGGAGATGAGGTAGGAATAGATTCGCTTATGAATAAATTTTTCGAAGATTTTGTAGAGAGGGCGTAAGTTGGGTATTGGCCTATAGTTATTCAAGTCTGTTTGGTCTCCTCCTTTATGGATCGGGGTGACCCTCGCTATTTCGAGAACTGTAGGGAAGGTAGAGGATTCAATGGATTTGTTAAAGAGTGTTGCAATGATTGGTGACAGCACTTGCAACGCTTTTTTTGTATATAAAGAGTGGTAAGGTATTTAAATCTCCTGTCTTGTTTTTTAGTGTGTTGATAATAAGAGAGACTTCTGTTGGGTTAGTCGGAGCTAGGAACAGTGTGTTCGGGTAGTTGCCAGTGAGGTAGTCATTAGGTGGGGTATTTGAGCTTGGGATTTTATTGGCAAGGTTTTTTCCTATAGTGGAGAAGAAATCATTGAGTCTGTTTGCTGTTTCAGTTGGTGGGAGTTGGGGTTCATCTGGTTTTGTTAGTTCAATTGCGCTATTTTGTGATATGTTTTTTGTTCCTAGAATTTCTGATAGGGTTTTCCAGGTCTTTTTTATATCACCTTTTAAGTTGAATAATCTGTTCTCATAATACAATTTTTTAGCCCTTCTTATCAGGTTGGTTAGGACTGACGAGTAACATTTTGTTTGGTCTCTGGTTATGTGACCCATTCTGTACTGTTTTTCATATAGGTGCTTTGTATTTATGGATTTGAGGATACTGGGTGTTAGCCAGGGACTGTTCAGTCTCTTAGCCGTCATCTGTTTAGTTTTTTAGGGCAATGCTTGTTATAGAGGTATTGGGTCTTTTATAGAAAATTATTAATACATTCGTCAATATCTGTATAGATTTCTAGCTCAGTGTGCCAGTCAATGTTTGTCACTGCTGTTGTGAAGTTATTGATAGCTGCCTCATTGTGAAGTATGAAAGTGACTTTGGTAGTGTCTGGGGGTAATTTGCCTAGATTAGTTATGAGGAAGGTAGGGTAGTGGTCTGTGGTATTATCTGTGATTATGCCTGATTTTAAAGGGGATATGGTGTTGGTCCAGATGTTGTCTAGTAGGGAGACTCTAGTCTCTGTAATTCTTGTAGGTTTTGTTACTGTTGGTAGCAACATGCAGTTACTCATAGTGTTTGTGAATTCAGTAACGTGTGGGTCCTGGTCTTGCAGGAGATTTATATTGAAGTCACCTGAGAGTAGTAATTATTATTATTATTATTATTATTATTATTATTATTATTATTATTATTATTATTATTATTATTATTAATTCAGTTATTTGTCACAAAGGAACTCGCATCGAGAAAATAATACAGAATTGATATATTATTTTAACTTCTTTCCATATTTATAATTTTATCTTGCTGAATCTTGCTATAGTTGAGTTCCGATTCCTGGGATCTACCCTAAATTTTTGTTACCAAATTAGATAATTGAATATAATAAAGCAAGTTCTTTCATTGCATGTAATAAGTCGGATTTATTCGGATATGTCAACACGCCCGCTGATTGGCTGCAATGCGGCTCCGCCTCCCCCCGGCGGCCAATAGCAACTCTCCTCGCGCTAGTAAACAAATCCTCAGCTGTTCTTGTGACGTCATCACCTTTGTTTATAATTTACACGAACGCTCTACAAGCAAGAAGAAAAAAAAAACTATTTTTTTAACTTTATTAAATAAATTACTGTATTTGTTTACTCTAGTTTTATCAATGATATATATGCTCAAATTCAGGCACATTCCTAAATAAGCAATAAATACAGAGTTTTGCAGAATTTCTAAAATGCCCAGACAGCCTGATTAATATATACACACATTAAAATAGCTTTACAACAATGAATAATAAAAAACTAATGTTATTATTTGTTAAATATACATTTATTTAAGATACATATATTATAAATATGGAAGAGGAGAAGAGATAACTTGGCCCTAACAAGACGGTGAGTGGAGTCACTTGACTGAGAGACGTGAGCAAGACACAACAGGTATCTCTTCCTTATTATGGTTTTTTTGTGAGTCAAAATGAGGAGTGTGTGTAGTTTTGTGGGTCAAGATGTACGCTACAGTGTGTGAGGTTGAGGAGAACCCTCATATACACTCAGAAAAGGTTGATCAACTATGTAAATAATTAGTTTTGAATGTGAGTGTTATTTCAATAGGCCTATTTTTTGGGGGGGGAGGAGGTGAATTCATGGCGTTAAAGTGCACTTAATCCAAGGAATTGGAGGTATCTTTCCCTCTTCCTCACATCAAAGCTAATTACCTCACATTCCTCAGGCGCAGTGTGACCCCTACGGGTTCAGCGCTTCCCCGTGAGTGAAATAATTAGTAGGCCTACTGGCTCATGATAGGCTGATCCTACATATGTCTAACCATTGAAACATACATCTAACAACCATTTTTTTTCAAGCTGCCTAAATGACTTCAGTGACATTTGTCAGTTCATTCACCTCTACTACATTTTTTTTTTTTTAAACCAGTTTTGTTAGTTGGAATTTAACCCTAATGTTAATAAGTCACAAATGATTAGCAGGTAAATAGGGAAGGTTATTTAGGCACAGGTACACATAAGTACAATTATCATAGTATAAATGTTTTAGGATAACCTAAAAAAAAAAAAAAGTCAGTGATTTATTTCTATTGGAGTCCTAGGTAATTTACACATATGTTACTATGTATGAAAATTGTACTGATGTGTACCTGTACCTAAATAACCTTCCCTATTTACCTGCTTATCATTTGTGTTACTGCATTGACCTCAATGGAAATAAGTTATGACCCCCAATGGAAATAAGTCACTTCGACTTTTTTGGGGTTTATCCTGGGTGATTTACACTATGTATGATAACTGTACTTAAGTGTACCTGTGACTAAATAAACTTGCTTTCCCTTATCATGATGGTGTTGGCTAATAATAATAATAATAATAATAAATTTATTTCTCTTCTGAAGTATTACAAGTAATTTAGTTTACATGTATTAAAATGTTGTTAGGCACAAATGACAGTTCTTAGCATAAGGTGCATGTCTGGTAGACTAGTGACTTGTAAGCAGAGGTACATAACTAATGATTTCCAAATAAGTCTTCGCTTCATAATGGTTTAGAAACTAGCGTTAGCTAAATGTTTATTGGATAGGCTGTTAGTTAATTTTTTTTTTCTAAAAAAAAAAACTATGCATCCTCTTACTTTCTCATTATTGTATATTTAGTATATGCAGTGATCTGAAATAATCTAAATCTGAATGTGCAACTGGGTATGCTTCCTAATTGTTTGCAGGCAAGTGAATTTTCATAATGGTTTGCAAACTAGGTTGTTAGTTCATGGTTTGTAAGTTGGGCAAAGTTGTCTAATAGTTTGCAAATTAGAGGGATAAATGAAGTGTGAATGTTTACAATAACAGATGATATTACTGTCAGTCAAATAGTTTTTAGCAATATTGTACAAATATATTTCTCTCCTTTCTCTTACTCTCTGTTTTTTTCTCTTTCTCATATTCTCTCTCTTATGTATCCTGTTTCTCCTGTCTCTCAGCTCTTTTTCATTACCTATTTAAGTCATTCATAAAATTTGTGCCAATGTGTTGAAGTTTAATCTTGCATCTTGGGCTTGGACTGAGCATATTACACTTTTTTACCACAAACATACTGTGTACATTTTATATTGTTTTTATTATAACATCAGTTGGATCTCCGATGTGATTCTTTATTTATTTTCTTTTAATTTATGAACAATAACAAAATGCACATTAATGGTTGTGTTCCTTTGTTACACCTGATATGACCCTCATAGCCATCATGTCGATTGTTTTTGATGATTTCTAAGTCTGTTTGTCTTTCATTTCTCATGTTAAAATTATCTCTTTTCACAGCCCACAATTTGAAGGTAAATTTTAATAATGGTCCTGGTCAGACTGAAATGTCATTTAAATAATTGTTATGGCTCTAATGGTAACTTACATAAGTGAATGTGAGAACTGTTTCTCTATAGATAAAAATAAATGTTACAGAAATTAAGCTGTATAGCCCTTGTGGCTTAGCGCTTCTTTTTGATTATAATAATAATAATACAGAAATTAAATGATGCTATATATTACAGGAAGGCAGCAAAGAATGGATTCCGAAGCAGAGTCTTCAGATGTTGTAAGTGATGCTGTGGAGGTAATTGTTTAGTAGAGTTGAATCATTCATCACTTGCACAAGTACAGTACAGCTTATCATTGCTATTTTTTTAACTTAATTCTCATTTATCATGTTAATTTTAGTGTTGATTTTTGTTATGCTGTATATATGTGTATAGTAATTAAATTTATAATACCAGTTTGTTACCACAAGAGTATAACTATTCTTGTGGTTTCCCATGTTTTATGTACTTTACAATAGCTGTTGCACTCTCAGCATCCATCAACTACTTGATTTGTAATTTTTTCTCCTTTTCTTCCACAGCTTACAATTGTTTTCACTATTGCTAATTCCAAGAGATATTTTCAATTTCTCTCATCTTAGCCACCTGCAAGCTCTTGAGTGACTATCATATTAACTCTTTGGTCTCCCAACATTGGCAAATTTAATATCGTTCGTTTTTACAGCCATTTATTTTCTGATTTGCTTACAAATTTTGCATCCTTTGCTAATGTATAATAATTCGTTATTCCTCCTAGAAAGTCATTTATAGCACTATGGTACTATTTATATAAATTGGAAATAGTTTCAGAGCAAGAACAGGCCCTTGAAGCACCCAACTGATGATCATTTTCCCATGCCCCTAATTATTGTTTTCTTTCATGCACAAATTTTTCATCATATCTAATCTTACTTCTTACTGTTTTTGTAATTGTGTGCATGATGTATCTCATGCTAATGTCTTTCATAAACAATTCCATGTACTCCACAGTACATTTATACAGCCTCTCCTCGCTTAACAACAGAGTTTCATTCCTCAGACCACGTTGGTAAACAAATTTGTCACTAAGTGAGGAGCATACTATAATGGTAGTGGGTTTGTGTCAATCATCTTTGATATTGTTTTAATTTCACCTTTGCACCATTTGTAACATTTCTGGCATATTTTTGAATGTTTATACAGTAGTGTACTGTATACTGTATTAAACAGAATAGAGGAAATCAGCTCTAATGTACTTTATTTAGGTATGCATATTGGTTAGAGACCCTGTCGTAAGTCTGAGTCGTCAGTAAACGAGTACGTCGGTAAGTGAGGAGAGGCTGTATTTGACCTTTCTGTCCTTGCACCACATCCTATCTCTTAAATTTCTCTTCACTTTCTTAACCTCATACTTCAGTTGTTCCATTTTGTTTCCCATTTTGCTTGCATTATCTTTAGCTGCAATTTCCATTTCTCTCTCAACATTCTCCACTGTTATTTATGCATAATGTGCAGGAGGGCCCACTTATACAGCAGGGTAGCTTCTGGGCTACTGCTGTAAAGTGAATCATAAGCTGGCCAGGATGAAACTCAATTCCACCAGTGAAAAAAGGTTCTGAAGAACTTCATTCAAGATTCCTTCAACAGGTCTCAAACATTCTCCAGGAAGATGGCATCTAAGAAAGTAAATATCATAGCATCTTAGGAAGTAAATTTCATGAAGATGAGGTTGTGCTTATCAGCTCTCTACAAGGATATGGTAGTTTCCTTCTCAATGTATTTACATTTAGTATTTTAGTGGTGGACCTAGTCAAAATCTATGAGGGCTACTCCTATGCGCTCCTCTTCCTCAAACAAATATTTTCACAATACCTCATTGATTAGATAGGAGCCTTTCTGAACATATCCTATCAGGTCTTTGGGATACAGCATCCTTATCAAATTACCTTTTGCATATACTGCCTCGTGTATCATGCTTGCATGGCTACCTACTAAAGTTGCTCACAACTTGTGTTATGGTGGCTTTTAACAGCAGCAGCTTAAAAATCAACATTTTTGTTTTTGTAAAGTAAAAGACACAAGTACATTAGTTGCACTTGTGTCCTTTTACTTTACATATTGTCGGTAATTCTACCAACTTTATTACATTTTTGTTTTTGTAATCCAAACTAATGGTTTTGTTCTTGTAATTTTATTTTTCTTTCACACTTTTAGGAAAGTTGCATAAAATTGAATATGTGAGAGAAAAGTACCAATAAGTATTCCATGGCATGCATTCAGTTTTAGTCAAATTTTTATGTAATGAACCTCTTTTTAATTTCCAGTCTCTTGGAATTATTTCTAATGTGTATAGAAGATAGGTACAATTCAGAATAATAGCTGTGAAATCTGTAATTTCTAATATAGGACAAAAACCAATACATGTATAATATGAAGTGAAATGCAAAAATTTCAGCTTGATAAAGCCTTACTAATATTAATTCATTTCTATAATTAAGAAGGATGGAATGTTTCTCAACAGAAAGCAAGTGGTGGTGGTGGGGAAAGTAATGGAGAATCTTCAGCGAAAAGACCAAGGGTGGATATGTCATCATTGCCGACCCGCCAGTACCTTGACCAAACAGTGGTGCCTATCCTTTTACAAGCGGTCACGCAGCTCAACAAAGAAAGGTTTGCTTTGCTGCATTATTATACGACTATATGCCATTTATTTTCTATAGAATCAACCAGATCATTCAAATGACTATTTTTAAACTGCTACAAACTTGCTTTAAATGCTTTGTACCATGTGCTCCATAATTTTACCATTTATCCTTGATGCAGTCTTCTTTTGGAATAAACTTTTCTCAAAGATATGGAAGAAAAGAATTATGTACATAAGCTTTTATTGCTGACAAAAAAGTACGTTTTCTAACACTTTACAGTACACATTTAATCCATTCACTGTGGCTTGGTTTTAAAATCTCAATGTCACATCTTTTGTGGCATATTTTGAGGAAGGATTCACTATTACTGTTTGAGTGTTAAAAGCAGTATGATTTTTAATTTTAATTTCCTTACCACATTGGCCATCTCCCACTAAGCTAAGGTAGCCCAGCATAGGAGTCCATCATTCACTCGATAGCTGTTTTGCCAGAAGTGTGCATATAATTCATATTACCCTCTAAATTGCAACTTCCCCACTCATCTTTCGGAGTGCATGTAGTGTGCTTTCCCTTCTCCAGGGCTCAACTTCGGCTAACTGCTTCCCCAGAATTCGTGATTACAGGTCTCCCTCAACATTCACGTTTTCAGCTTTCGCAGGCTTCACACATTCGCGAATTCCCGACCGCCAAATTCCCAGCCGCCAAATCATATTCAAGTTTCCCGCCACCTGCGAGTCCCTACTACTCTGGCAGCCAGCCCTCCCACCACTCAGTGTGGTGAGTGTTTTGTTTGTTCATTATTTGCTATTAAACTGCAGTATAAATAATGTAAACCCATTCATGACTGCATATTGGAATGGTTATTCGGACAGGTATTAGACGGTGACATGTGTTTACTCTTGAACACAGCAAAGAATCAAACATTTCTGCTACTGCTAATAATAACAATAGTAATAATAATAATAATAATAATAATAAATACGATATAATTGAAGAAGGAAGTTGTACAAAAATACGAGGGAGTGGTTGACACATCGTCAGTGTGGCTTTGTTTATGCTGGAGTGAACATTAGTCTCCGTGCTCTAATAAACATTTCACAATAATTCATTGTGTTTGGTACTTGTAGATTGAGTGCGACTGGAGTGGTAGAGGCAGTGGTTGAGGCAGCTGTTGAGGCAGCTGTTGAGGCAGCGATTGTGGCAGTGGGTGAGGCAGCGATTGAGGCAGCTGTTGAGGCAGTGATTGTGGCAGTGGTTGAGGCAGCTATTGAGGCAGTGGGTGAGGCAGCTGTTGAGGCAGCTGTTGAGGCAGTGCATGAGGCAGTGCATGAGGCAGCTGTTGAGGCAGCGATTGAGGCAGCTGTTGAGGCAGCGATTGAGGCAGCAATTGAGGCAGCTGTTGAGGCAGCGACTGAGGCAGTGGTCACTGAGGCAGCTGTTGAGGCAGCGATTGAGGCAGTGGGTCTGAGGCAGCTGTTGAGGCAGCTGTTGAGGCAGCGATTGAGGCAACTGTTGAAGCAGCGACTGAGGCAGTGGGTGAGGCAGCTGGTGAGGAAGCGATTGAGGCAGTGGTATTTAATAACATACATGTTATTAATAATAATAATACATGTTATTAATATGTACTATTATTATTTATAACATATATGTTATTAAATACCACTGCCTCAACCGCTGAATTATTGTGAAATGTTTGGAAGAGCAGGGAGATTAATGTTCACTCCAGCATAAACAAAGCCACACTGACGATGTGTCAACCACTCCCTCGTATTTTTGTACAATTTCCTTCTTCAATTATATTGTATTATTATTATTATTATTATTATTATTATTATTATTACTATTGTTATTATTAGCAGTAGCAGAAATGTTTGATTCTTTGCTGTGTTCAAGACTAAACACATGATGTCACCGTCCAATACCTGTCCGAATAGCCATTCCAATATGCAGTCATGAATGGGTTTACATTATTTATACTGTAGTTTAATAGCAAATAATGAACAAACAAAACACTCACCACACTGAGTGGTGGGAGGGCTGGCTGCCAGTTGCGGGGGTCGGAGGGAGGGTAGTAGGGACTCGCAGTGGTTGGGGAAGTGGTGGAGGCATTGGTGGAGTCTGTGGTATTTAATAACATACATGTTATTAAAGCATAACATGTATATATTTAGTACAATTTACGACGTTTTCATGTATTTTATGATTGTTCATGGTTCAACAAGTTAAGGAAGCAGTATTGTATTATATTTCCCTACAATATATTGGGGCACCAAACATTCACGGTTTTTCACCATTCGCAAGGCTCTTGATCCCCTAACCCTCGCGAATGTTGAGGGAGACCTGTATATTAAACCCATGTCACCAATGAGGTTTTTTTTTTCCTCCCTTTTATGAGTAATGATGTAGAACAGTAAAACACCATATATGGAGAGAGGGATCTGGTAGAGGTTTTGAGTGCTAAGAGGCTTTGACATCCAATGAGTAGAGGCAAGTGGTTTTTATGACTTGACATGCTGTTGGAATGTGAAAAAGGTAACAATCATGAAGGGATTCATGGAAGCCAGTTAGACAGACTTAGAGTTCTGGAAGTGGAAAGTACAGTTCCTGCACTCTAAAGGAGGGGTGGAGATGTTGCAGTATCTAGTGCTATCCAAACTGTGATGTCAACATGCTTTTGGCAAGGCATCTATTGAATGAATGAATGTGTTTTCCCTTTTTCAGGTCAGTATAGTACTTTTGAAACTGTACAATGGTACGGCAACAGTATGTGAAAAAAAAAGTTGTCACATTCTGTATATTGAACAGCAATGGGAAATGGGTTAGTGATAAAAAAAAAATCACTTAACAATAACAATGAAGAACCAGTAGCACACTACATTTTGTTCTTTTCACTAGTCATCTTTCATATTTCAGACCTGGAGATCCTATAGAATGGCTGGCAAACTACCTTCTCAAGAATAAGCCTCAGTTCACCAATGGAAACACATAAATATTTATTGATTTGAAAGACCTGCAATACCCTGTCTGGGTATAGCGTTTTTCAGATGGTCATCCCGAGTTCAAATCATCTACCTAAACAACATTACCACTTACAATAATATTTCTTAATCAAACTCCTAAGTGTTAACACAAGTATCTAGCAAGTTGTTGCTCTCTTCTGGAATCTGCGAAGAAATATTTGTTGTAGATATAGTAAAAATAACTTTGCAGTTATACAGTGCCAGCAGTTAATATTTCCAATTCAAATTGATATTAACTTTAGACATTTATAATTGAATTTTGTATTCATCTAGATTCTCTAATTATTCCTAAGATTCTGATTTCATTTTAATCATGGATTTTTACAAGCATATTTTGTATATACTGCAGTTGCTCATTTAAACATAACTCATTATATTTTTGAGCATTAATTTCAGTGTATAGTATTGTAATAAAAAATACCTGGAGAATGTAGTAAGTTTAGTAATACTTCTCAACTAAATCTACTTTCAAAGCATTCATATTGCATGAATCTAGTTCATTCTGAGATTACATTTTCGATCCCTAATTTTTGTCGAGAAAGTGTAATATACATTTCTAGGAGAATTTAGAAAGTTTAAGAAGTTTTTCATCTGAATTTTTTTCCATTTTTATTCCTTTAACACTATATACGATTCCAGTTGTGCCCTCTGAGGTCTTTATTTATTTTAACGGTTACACAAAAATAGATTTACTGACGAATGTAGCATTTGCATAGCTTTAAGAATTAATGGTAATGAAAAGTAAAACCGGTTTCTTTTGTAAACAGATAGTATTAGTAATCCACTGCCTATGTTTTATTCATGAGTGCAGTCTAGGGGCCTATTTATTTACACTGGCAATACAGTTACAACCTCCTTGCCTAATACAGGACTTCTTAATATTTTTATTACTTAGTACAGGACTTCTGTAATTTAACTCAAATTTTGGTTAATTAAGGACTAGCTAATTATTAAAACTTTTGTTTAGGAAATTGATGATTAGCTTCAAGTGTGATATTACCATTGGATCAGGAGGTTAATGTTCATAGATAATTTTATTTGAAAATTGCCAGTTCATCTTTCATGGTATAAATTTTCTGTGTTGGAGCCCTTGCCTCATGAATATACTCATCCTAAACAGACTGCCCATACAAGTATTGTACCTGCTCAAAGTGATAATAAATGAATTTAATATATATATTGCCTTTTTCTACGATGACCTGTTTTTTTTTTGTTATATTCTATTGATAATAGTTCATCTCTGCTAGTATGTTATGCCATTTTTCACCTCAAATTTCCTTTAAGGTGCAGTGATGCTGGTGAAGGATTCGTGATTCAAGGAATTAGTTACTCCTCCCCTTGTATCAAAATTGAGTTATTCCATGGCTCAGTTGATAGTGCACTCAACTCGCATACTGAGTGTCTGGGGTTTGATCCCTGGCACAGGTAGAAATGTTGAACTTGTTTCCTTACACCTGCTGTCCCTGTTCAATTAGCAGTAAGTAGGTACCTGAATGATTGTTGACTGCTGTTTGCTGCATCCTGGGGATAAGATTAAAGGGTCCTAATGAAAATCAGTCCTGAATGACACTTACTGTTAGGTTACCCTGGGTGGCTAACCCTTGAGGTAAAAAGCCCAAACAAATCTTATCTACTGCTACCATTTCCTGAGTGCTGTATGACTCGCTCCTGTAAAGCTTTCAGTAAGTGAAACCTTGTAAAGAAGCCAGTGGGAAATTGGAGGGAATCAGGTTGGATCCAAAGGGAAGGATAAGTTTAATTTCTTGGATCAAGCCCCTCACTAGCATCAAGGCACCTTCCTCGAATAAACTGATGTAGCATAAATCTGTATAGTATTTGCAGAGGAAGCACTAAACCCATAGGGAAGCCATACAACACCTGAGGATGGGATAATCAGCTGTAATCAAATGGGAAGATAATTCCAATTCTTGGATAAAGAACCCCTCACAGACATCAAGACACTTCTTCGGTGCTAGAAAGGCTCTTGAGTCATTCAGTACTTCAAGCCAAAGGGATACAGGTAGGTTTGCCAGAACAGGTTCTGGCTCAGGTCTTCTCCATGCATTATTACTATTAAAATCATGGGGGAACGCTAAACCTGTAGGATTATACAGGGCACGTGGGGGGGGATGGAAGGTATTCAGGTTTAATTTGGGGAACCAGAGCATAGATCCAATTCCCTAGATCAAAAGCCCCTCACCAGCATCAAGGAACCTCCCTTGAGGAGTCTTCTCCATGCAGTGACCCAACAACAAAGGGATGATTCTTAAGGGTAAATATAAGTGTAAAAGATTATGTTTCTTTTAATTTAATCGGAAAAGTATTAAAACCATAGGGGCAACAGTACCTGAAAAATTAAGTACTCAGGCTCGATCCAAGACAGAGAAGGAACAGTCAACACAAACTGACATTGTTTTCAGTGCTCAGAAGTTGATTGTTGGCACAAGTTTTAGCATGCTAGGTTTAAGAGAGCAAGCAATGACATGAAACTATATTTAAAGATATCTGATTATACAGTACAGGTCATTAGACAATGATACAACAGATTATTTTGAGAATTTTATTAAAAATATTCTTCAGAGCAGGGATCACATATTAGCCTTGAAACAGCATTTATCTTGTAACCCAGCATAAGCATAGTCAAGATATACTTATGCCTATTAATCTTAAGAGGTAAATGCTGTTCCGAGTTTCACTGGCTCACCACGCTGAGGTCTGTGATCGTCAAGCCAGGCCAGGGTTAATCGTCCAAAAGTTTTTGCAAAAGTTATCAGAGAAATTTTTTATGTGGAACCCTAAACCAAGCACCTTAGATTACGTCGGTTGATTACCAGTGGTAGCTATGTTATCACCAGAAATCACTCACCAACAGCCAGGACATCAGGCTGGTGACATGCTGCTGGCCAGCCCACAAGGAGCGGCGCAAATAATGGTTGGGGAAAAGGAAGGATGAGGAAAACCCAGCAAACACTATGTTGTGTGTACATCAAAATATGAAAATTACCAATTATGATGTTTAGACATTATTATTATTATTATTATTATTATTATTATTATTATTATTATAATCATAGGGAAGCGCTAAATCCGTAGGATTATGATGTTTAGACAACATTGTTACAGCAAAAAAGTATGAAGTATGTATGCCAGGAAGGATTTGAATCATATAAGGATACAATGTAATAAGATTGAAAACAGTCCAATAATATTACTGACACTCCATTATATGAGGGTATACACAAATAACTTGAGTCCTGGAAATGGGAAGTACAATGCCTGCACTTTAAAGGAGGGGTTTGGGATATTGGCAGTTTGGAGGGATATGTTGTGTATCTTTATACGTATATGCTTCTAAGCTGTTGTATTCTGAGCACCTCTGCAAAAGCAGTGATAATGTGTGAGTGTGGTGAAAGTGTTGAATGATGATGAAAGTATTTTCTTTTTGGGGATTTTCTTTCTTTTTTGGGTCACCCTGCCTTGGTGGGAGACGGCCGACTTGTTGAAAAAAAAAAAATACACAAATAACCCGCACATAGAAGAGACGAGCTTACGACGATGTTTTGGTCCAACTTGGACCATTTACAAAGTCACACTAATGAGAAGTAGAGCAGGATGGGTATATATAGGCAGGAAGAGGTAGTGGTAGTAGTAGTAATACATGTAGTGGTAGTAGTAGTAATACATGTAGTAGTAGTAGTAGTAGTAGTGGTGGTAATAGTAGTGGGGGAGATGGAAGGAAGTAGTAATGTCGAGTCACGGTACTGTGCCTTTTTTTGTTATATATGAGAGTATATATGGGACACAATGCAATAATAATGGACAGTCCAGTAATATTGCAAACAGTCCAATATATGGGACACAGTGCAAAAATAATGGACAAAGTCCAATAATATTGCAATCAGACCAATATATAAGCCATATGGATCAAGTCCATGGTATCTAGTTGCTTGATTGCATTCTCTAGATAGAGTCCATTCCTGAGGTGCTCTGGGTGGTGTCCACTCTTGAAGGTGTTCTGAGCAGTGTTCATTCTTGAAGGCACTCTGGGCAGTGTCCACTCTTTGAAGGCACTCTGGGCAGATGTCCATACTTGAAGGCACTCTGGGTGGGTGTCCATTCTTGAAGGCACTGTAGGTGGGTGTCCACTCTTGAAGGCACTCTGGTGGGTGTCCACTCTTGAATATGCTCTTGGCAGAGTCCACTCTTGAAGGCACTCTTGGCAGGGTCCATTCCTGAAGGCACTGGGCAAAAGCCCACTCAAGCACTGTGGGCTAAGGTCCACTTGAGCCCTGTGGGTGAAAACCCATTTGAGCACTGTGGGTGAAGGCCCAATCGAGTGCTGTGGGCTAAGGCCCACTCAAGCGCTGAGGGCGAAGGCCCACTCGAATCCCATAGGTGAAGGTTCACTCAAGCATTATGGGTGAAGGCCCACTCGAGTACCATGGGCTAAGGCCCACTCGAGCACCATGAACAAAGGCCCACTCGAGTGCCGTGGACAAAGGCCCACTCAAGCGTCGTAAGCTAAGGCTCACTCAAACACAGTAGACATGAGAAACTTATATCACTGCTGAATTATTGTTTTCCTTCTTTTTTCTTCCTCCAGGGTTTCCATGCAAAAACCTAAGAACGCCTCTTCGGATCGGATTTAAACTTTGAACTTTAGTAGATCTCATAGAATATGTCTGATAGTGCTTCGAGTAATAGGTGAATTTACATGTTTTCTTTCAGTCATTTTAAAGCATTCTATGTAATCTCATAGTTCAAAAAATTAAGCTTATTATTTTTTTTGTATATGCTTGTGAGAATATTCAGTGACAACTCTCCTACTGTGATCACCTATTTATGGTTGCAAGGGTCTATTCACAGCTCCTGGCCCCGCCTCTTCGC